CAAAAAGCCTAACTTCTGAGGACCTGGCTTGGACAGCCGGGTGGAAGGTGGGTGGTGACTGGGAATCCGAAGTTCCATCTTCTCATTTAGGCCTACGATGTCTGTGAGCCATGGAGAGGACATGTCTGGTAGGCAGTTGGAAGCACGGGTAAACAGCTCAGGGGAGGGTACACTGCTGCACGTGTCATTTGGGAGCGGCCAATACGTAGATGGTGCTTAGAGCCATGACAATGAGTGAGGTCAGCACAGGAGTAAGTGGAGGTAGTGAAGGTGGCCCGGGGGCTCCCTCAGGGGTTCCCACCTTGTAGAGGTTGTGTAGAGGAGACAGAGAGGGCAGTGCTCCAGAGGTCACAAGACGAGGGCAGCCTGAGGGACCCATAGGATAAAGTCAGAAAGGAGCCACTGGATTTGGCAACGTGATTACTGGTGTTCTCGACACACCACTGTGGTGCAGACTGGTGGGGTGGACGCAGATTAGAAGGAGTTGAAGAGGGGCGCCTGGGTGGCTCAGTTGGTAAAGCGTCTGCCTTCGGCTCAGGTCATGATCCCAGGGTCCTGGGATAGGGCCCCACATCGGGCTCCTTGCTCAGTGGAGAGTCTGCTTCTCCCTCTCCCTCTGCCCCTCCCCTCCATTTGTGCTCTCTCTCTCATAAATAAATAAATCTTTTTTATTTTTATTTTTCTTAAAGATTTTATTTATTTATTTGACAGAGAGAGACATAGTGAGAGAGGGAACACAAGCAGGAGGAGTGGGAGAGGGAGAAGCAGGCTTCCTGCCGAGCAGGGAGCCCGAAGTGGGGCTCAATCCCAGGGCTCTGGGATCATGACCTGAGCCGAAGGCAGATGCTTAACGACTGAGCCACCCAGTCACCCTAAATAAATCTTTTTTAAAAAGATTTATTTATTTGAGGGCGCCTGGGTGGCTCAGTTGGTTAAGGGACTGCCTTCGGCTCAGGTCATGATCCTGGCGTCCCGGGATCGAGTCCCGCATCGGGCTCCCTGCTCGGCAGGGAGCCTGCTTCTGCCTCTGACCCTCCCCCCTCTCATGTACTCGCTCTCTCTCATTCTCTCTCTCTCAGATAAATAAATAAAATCTTTAAAAAAAAAAGATTTATTTATTTGAGAGAAAGAGAGATAGCAACAGAAATAGGGAGAGAGAGCACGAATGGGGAGGAGAGGGAGAAGCAGGCTCCCTGCTCCCTAACACGGGGCTCAATCCCAGGACCCTGAGATCATGACCTGAGCCCAAGGCAGATGCTTAACCCACTGAGCCACCCAGGCGCCCCAATAAATAAATCTTCTTAAAAAAAGGAGTTGAAGAGGCAGTGGGGAGAAGTAAGGAAATAGACAACTATTTTGAGAAGTTTGGCTATAAAGAGGAACAGGGGCACTTGGGTGGCTTAGTCGATTAGGCATTCGACTTAAAAAAAAATACATTTATTTATTTGAGTGAGAGAGAGAGAGAGAGAGCATGGGGTGGGGGGGGCAGAAGGACAATCAGACTCCCCACTGAGTGCGGAGGCCGACACGGGGCTTGATACCAGGACCCCGAGATCACAACGTGAGCCAAAGACAGACACTTAACTGACTGAGCCACCTAGATGCCTCCAGCATCCGACTCTTGATTTCGGCTCAGGTCATGATCTCAGGATCGTGAGACTGAGCCCTGTGTTGGGCATTGCGCTGGGTGTGGAGCCTGCTTGAGATTCTCTCTCTCCCTCTGCCCCTTCCCCTGCTCTCTCCCTAAAAAAATAAAATAAAATAAAATAAAATAAAATAAAATAAACTGTTTTAAAGAGGACAGAGAATCGGGGTTGTGATTGGAGAGAGGTGTTGGGTCAAGAATGGATGCTACTGGGACATATCTGATGATGCAGGAGAAAGACGGGGTGACCTTAGGAGTGAAGAATTCCTCAGAAGAGAGGAGAAACTTGTGATTTGGCCATGGTGGGATGACAAATACCAGAATAGCCTTCTGGTGGTAAACAACTAGAATACTAGGCAAAATATTGAAAACAACAGGCAGTGCCAGCCTGTGATCAGAAGGAAACCAAATGTAGTGACCCCAGTGAACAGCCTGGACTTCTGCCTCAAGGCACTTCTCCAGTCATGGTACAGGAAGGGTGTCTCCTGAGTAGAACCTGTGGTCTCCATTATTAGAGCTAACAAGCCAATAGTGGAGGGAAAAAAAAATAGAAGACCAGAAACATTTGATTAATCCAGAAGTCAGGAATGGAGGAGAAAAGGAACAAAAAACAGATGTGACGAATAGAAAACAAAGAGCTAGATGGTAGACTTAAACCCAACCATTAAATGTAAATGGATTAACCAGACCAATTAAAAGGCAGAGATTATCAGACTGGTTAAAAAAGTAAGCCCAGGGGCACCTGGGTGGCTCAGTTGGTTAAGCGACTGCCTTCGGCTCAGGTCATGATCCTGGAGTCCCGGGATCGAGTCCCACATCGGGCTCCCTGCTCAGCAGGGAGTCTGCTTCTCCCTCTGACCTTCCCCCCTCTCATGCTCTCTCTCTCTCTCTCTCTAATAAATAAATAAATAAATAAATAACTCTTTAAAAAAGTAAGCCCAAACCACATGCTGTCTATAGGTGCACTTTAAATAAAGACACAGACAAGTTAAAAGAACAGAACAGAAAAAAGTTATATAGAGAAATAAATTAAGCATAAGGAAGTGGGTTGGCTACACCAGACCAAGCAGATGTCAAAAGAAAGAACATTACCAGAGATAAAGAGGAGCATTTCCTGATAATAAAAAGGTCAATTTATCAAGAACACATAACAGGCCAGGGCGCCTGGGTGGCTCAGTCAGTTAAACGTCCGACTTCAGCTCAGGTCACGATCTCAGGGTCCTGGGATGGAGCCCCGCGCTGGGCATCCCCACTCAGCGGGAAGTCTGCTTGTCCCTCTGCCCCTCCCCCTGCTTGTGTTCCCTCTCTCTCAAATAAAATCTTTCAAACAAAAAGAACACATAACATTCCTAAATGTGTATGCACCCAACAAGAGCTTCAGTCAGATGCAGCAAAATCTGACAGAACCAGGAGGAGAAAGACAAACCCATAATTACATTTGGAGACTGTGATACTTCCCTCTCAGTCTGCCAGAGAGAACTGGTAGAGAGAAAATCAGTAAGGATACTGAAGACTTGAACTACACTATCAACCACCTTGAGCTAATTGACATTTATAGAACACACCACCCAACTGCAGAACATACACTCTTTTCAAATAAGCATGGAACATTCACCAAGCTAAACCATATGCTAAGTCATAAAACAAGTCTCAATTTTAAAAGAAATGAAATCAGACAGAGTAAATTCTCTGTACTACAATGTAATTAATGTAATTAAAAACACATAACAGGGGCGCCTGGGTGGCTCAGTTGTTAAGCGTCTGCCTTCGGCTCAGGTCATGATCCCGGGGTCCTGGGATCGAGCCCCGCATCGGGCTCCCTGCTCCACAGGAAGCCTGCTTCTCCCTCTCCCACTCCCCCTGCTTGTGTTCCCTCTCTCGCTGTGTCTCTCTCTGTGTCAAATAAATAAATAAAATCTTAAAAATAAATAAATAAATAAATAAATAAAAACACATAACAAAAAGATATAGGCCAAATTCTCAAATATTTGGAAATTAAATACACTTCCAAGAAGGTCATTGGTTAAGGAAGTAATAATCACAAGGGAAATTAGAAAACATTATGAACTCAATGATAATGAAAATAGAACATATCCAAATGTATAGAATGCAGCTAAAGATGTTCTTAAAGGGAGTTTATAGCTTTAAATGCTTATGTTAGAAAAAGAAAGGTTTAATTTTTTTTTTTTTTAATTTTAAGTAAGCACCATGCCCAACGTGGGGCTTGAACTCACGACACTGAGATCAAGAGTCACATGCTCCACTGACTGAGCCCGCCAGGTGCCCCGATAAAAAGGTTTAAAATAAATGATTTAAGGTTATACTTTAAGAAGCTGGAAAGGATGAGCAAGTTAAGCCCCAAATAAGTTTTATTACTCCAAAATAAGTAAAAGAAAGGAAATGATAAGAGTGGAAATCATCAATAGAAAATGGATAAACGATGGAGAAAAATCAATGAGACCAAAACTTGGTTCTTTAGAATGACCAATAAGCCTCTATCTAGGCTGATCAAGAAAGAAGGAAAGACACAAACTACCAATACAAGGAATGAGAGGGGACATCAGTGCAGATCCTATAAAGGGTTGATAAAGGGGTATCATTAACTTTATGTCAACTTAGATACAACAGGCAAATTCCTTGAAAGACACAAATTTCTGAAACAGACACAGGAAGAAGAAACAAAATCCAAATGGCCCAATATCTGAAGAAATTTAAAGATTTTATTTGGGGGGCGCCTGGGTGGCTCAGTCGTTAAGCGTCTGCCTTCAGCTCGAGCCATGATCCCAGGGTCCTGGGATCGAGCCCCGCATCGGGCTCCCTGCTCAGTGGGGAGCCTGCTTCTCCCTCTCCCACTCCCCCTGCTCATGCTCTCTCTCCCCCTCTGAAATGGTCAAATCTTTAAAAATAAATAAAGTTTAAAAAGCTGAATTGCATTTCCAGAAACTATCAATGATCAGTTAGACAATGAAATAAAGGGGCACCTGGGTGGTTCAGTCAGTTGAGTGTCGGACTCTTGGTTTTGGCTCAGGTCATGATCTCAGGATCAGGAGATGGAGCCTCGAGTCGGGCTCACACGCTGGACACGGAGCCTGCTTGAGATTCTCTCTCTTTCTCTCCTTCTGCCAACCCCCAACCCCAAAGGAAAGAAAATGAAATAAAGATACCATTTACAATTGCATCAAAACCATAAAAAAAAAAACCATGGGTGTGGAAAGGAGGGCCTCTGGAGGATTTGTTTAGTGGGGTATGGGGCAGCGTGTCTGATGTCGGGGTTGGAGTTAGGAACCCCGAGATGAGAAGCATCGGGAAGACTCGAGCCTTTCAGTGCAACAAACTCCGCGAGTACAGCCAGAGGTTGAGACGTAAGCTTTTATTCCTCCTGGACAACTTGGACTTCAGCAACGCCTAGCTTCGTGGGGCATGTAGTGTGACTCATGGTCGCAGATAAAACATCTTTCCAAGACACTCAATTACATGAAACCTGACTTGCTTTTAAAAATGTGAGTCCGATTTTCTTCTTCCTCCTTCTTTGCCTTGCTTCCAACTCCCCACCTTCCTGGGGCTTCTCGCTGTCTGGGTAACTTAAGGTTTGGGCCTAGCCCAGACCTGGGCAGTAGCCCCTCTGTCATTGTCACTGCCTGGCCCTGAGTGAGACTGAGCCAGCGGCCTCTGGAGCCTGACCTGGCTTGGCACCCGTCGGTGGGCGCACCCAGGGGTGGCCTGGCCGGCAGGCCGTCACGTTAGGCTTTGCTCCCGGGTCCCTGGTGCAGCCTGCGGACACGGGCCTGCTGAGAGGGCACTGCCGGGCTCTCGGGTATCTCGTGCGTGAACCGAACCACAGAACAGCCACACCTTACTTTTTCAAGTTACAAGAGGCTGGGAGGGCCCCAGGCCTCATATGCTCTCTCCTACAGAGCGGCCTCTTCTCCCTGGGGCTTCAGCCAAGTCCAAAGAGAAGGCCTAAGGGCTGCCCTGCCCAGGTCTTAGGGGAGCCAGCTCCCTGCTCCATCCTACTGGACTGGCCACCCCGCTCACCTCTCCTCCCCAACAGTAACGGCTTTCCTGTCCCCCAAATGCTGGAACGAAGGCAGGCCTTGAGACAGCTTCTAGCAGCTGGCCGGGGGCGCTCCGAGCCCGGCCTGTGCCCACACCCCGAGCGCAGCTGGGGCCACCACCTGCTCTCCCCTGTGCAGAGGGGGCCCCCACCCCCCACCGCCCACGGGCTGCTGAGGATTCGAGAGCCATGAGAACTTCCGACTATGAGAACTTTGACTTCCAGGTTTGGGGAATGTGCCAGGTGAACCGATCAGCTCTGAAATTCATCACTCTCTTCGGGCCCCTGCCTGTTCTGGTGTTCCACAGCGAAGCCTGTAGAAGGAAGAAATACCAGTTAGTAAGCGGGGGAGGCTCCCCAGCTGCCAGAAGGCCTGGCTCAAGGGCTGGACTGCGCTGTCATCTCAGCTCCTGGGCATTCCCTGGAATTAGGGGTTTCAAATGGCACCTGGAAGGGAAAGTACCTGCTGCAGCTTCATATGTTCTGGAAGCAATGGGGGGGGGGGCTGGCACCCCCAGGCTAAGGGAAGGTGTTGCTGCGAGGAGGAGGCGAGGGAGCTCGCACAAGGCCTTGTCCAGAATACACAACTTCCTGGGGGAGACGTCGGGGGCGGGCTGGGCTTCTGGCCATCGTCAGGAGGGGTGGCCTGCCTTTGAGCTGTCCCACGCCCTCAGGGAGCAGGGGCCTTGTCCATGCCCGATGGGAACAAACACTGTGCTGTTCGGGGCTGGCATGAGGAAGCATGCCCGAGCGGCCCTGGAGGCTGGCCATCCAGCTGCAGAGCGCACAGCCAAGCCCTGTCCCTCGAGTATGGGGCCAGTCCCAGGGGTACCTGGGAGGGAGCTTGATGACAGCAGCTGCAGGCTGTCCAGGACCCCATCCTCATACAAGGCCAGCTTCTGCACCATCTTCTGTCGGGCCGGGTTGATGACGATCCGCGGCGGCCGCGATGAGGCGGAGCTGCTCACGAGCGATCCTGGGGCAGAGAGAGCACCTCTCAGCTGCCGAGGCCGCGGTCCCTGGGCACTCCTCAGTGACGCCGCTGGCCTCACGGGTCTCCCCAGCCCCCAGCTTAGCTCCCTGACCCTTTGGGACAGAAGTCCTCCGTGCCGTCTCTGAAGGAAGGGCCTGGAAGGGGCCGTGCCGTCGCCCGGGCTCCCAGCTAGGCCAGGAACCCGGTCCTGAATAAAGCCTTCCTTGTTCCCGGCTTTCAGGAAGTGAGCTCCTGGCCCCTTCTCACCCACCTGGAGGGCAGGGCCTGGAGCTTGCTAGGGACGGAGTGAGATTAAGAGCAGGCCCCCAGTTCTCTCCTCCCAGAAGGCTGGGGGCAGGAGTATGGGGACTGCCACCAAAAGAGGCCCCCGGTCCCTCTTCTGGGCACCTGTCCCCAGCTACCTTCCATAGCTGCCAGCTGGGGCCCTGGGCCGCTCCCCCAGCTCGACTCTTGGGTGGCGCCCCCTTGAGTACAGCCGGCCTGCCCAAGGGCTGCTGGGGCCCACACGGTGGCCCCCCGCCCGGGGCTGCCTGGCCAGGCCAGGCCCGGGGGGCAGCGCGGGCTCAGGCGCCAGGAATGCAGGGCAGCAGACAGCCCGGACACACTCTCGTCACTCTCCACGGGCTGGTTGGGGCCTTTCTGGAGCCGCTCTGGAGCCTGGGCTGGTGCTCCTGAGGGAACCGCCAGGGGCTGCAGTGGGCTGGCACCGCGTGGGGCACTGCCAGTGAGGGAAACGTAGGAGTTTTCCTGTGGGGAAGAGGGGCCTCGGCTGGCAGCCTCTGGCTGCAGGGCTGGTCCTGCCACGGCCGCCTGCAGCTTCTCCAGACTCTCATACACCTGTGAGGAGAGAGGGGGCTCTCAGGGGCAGTGGGCCGGGCCGGGCCGCTCCCCAGCTCCACGGGCAGGCCGCGACCGGCCGCTCAGACCACTCAAATGGGGCGTCAGGGGAGAAGGGGGGGGTCAGGCCGCTGCGGCGGCACAGAACACCCAGAAGGGGGCGCAGGAAAAGCCCTTCGCTTCTCTCTCTAGCAGTGGGCTTGCGCAGGAGGCTCCAGGCACCCTCAGCAGAACTGAAGGGCAAGCTACCAACATTTGGAGACCGTCCCCAGAAAGAGGTCTGGTAGGTGGCGTGGGCGGCACCCGGAACGCGGGGTTCCTGATAGGCTACCACGTGCCATGGGCAGCCAGAGTCTCGACCGCTTTCCATCCCCACCGGCCTCCCCCCTGCCCAGGGCTACCTGGGTCATGGGGGGTCTCCTCTTGGCCCGGCGGTGCAGGCAGCAGCAAGCCAGCTGGCCCAGGGCCAGGCCCAGCTCGGGTGGGCATGGCCCAGGCCTGGGGTCCACGTGCTTCTTACAGATCTGGCTGGCAATTGGGGCAGCCCAGGCACCTGTGGCCAGACCTGCTTGCAGTGTGGTCTGGGTGCTTTTCAAAGTCACCCCGGCCTCCTCGGCCTCTTCTTCAACGAGGTCTTTCTGTGGGACAGATAATATGAGCGTGGCCACTGGCGGGGGGGGGGGCGCGAGGATGCCTTCAGCCCCATTCCCCAGGCTCTCATCACTGACTCCTGTGGTCTTTCTTAAGATTTATTAAGCACCCACTGTGTGCCCAGCACTGCCCCAAGGCCCTAGGGATCTAGTGACAGAGCACCCCGGGCCCACCTTCATAGAACTGACCTCCTGCTGTGGGAGAGACACTGACAAGCCTCTAAACCAACGGAAAACTTCGACAGATGGGCCCATGGGGCTTTTGACCAAGGCCTGAGCAAGTAGCACTTGGGAGCTGAGATCTGAAGGCACAGATTAGCCAGAGGTCAGAGCCGAGGAGGAAAGGGAGTACCTCACAGAGAGGTACCCAGGGGTGCAAACGGAACTGGAGGCTGTCCTGGGTTTTGAGATGGGAAGGACCAGGAGGAAGCACCTGGGTCAGGGGGTGGCCTGTGAGGCAGAAGGAAAGGTTCAAACCAAGGCCCTGGGGCAGGCAGCGGGAAGCTAGCTGAGTTTGGGGGACAGAGAGAAGGTTGGTGATAGCAGGACCTGGGTAGTTGTGGCCATGTTAAGGGATTGGGCCTTCACCCCAAGCACGGTGGGAAGGCAAAGGGGCTTCCACAATCTCTTTTTTTGTTTTTGAAAGATCGCTTTGGCCGTGACATGGAGAACAAATAGGAAGGGTCCAAAGAAGCCCAAAGAAGGATCCCTGAGGGGTCTGGCCCACTGCCCTGGGGCAGCTATGACAACATGGAGAGCAGCCTCAGTTGGGTTGGCTCTACACACAGAGCCAACAGGACGTGCTGACGGATGTAGATGGTGAAGGAAGGAGGGCTCCTGGCTGGCTCCCCGATTGTAGACCCACCGAGACCCGGTAATGGACAGAAACAGCCCCAGGCCAGGAACAGGGGCAGCAGGAGGTATACCAGTTGTGAAACGTAAAGAACAAACGTGACCGGATGCGTTCCGGGCCCGAGAAGGCTCTGAGCACGGCACGTGTATAAGGTCTGTTCACATGTGGGGAAGCGGGCCCAGCGAGCCCTCCTGTCTCAGCCAAGGGGCGGGGGCAGCTCCGCCACAACGTGGAGCGCTCATCTACGGCGCGCCCGATTGCCCACCACAGCCTCTCCCAGGGCCCTGTGCTGTTTTCTGCTGTAGCTTCTGGTCCCAGAGCACTGGGACTGCCTTGCTGGGACGACCCCTTCCCCGCTCCCGGCCCAGGTGCGGTCTGGAAAGGCCCCTAGCATCTGCAGAAGAAAGACATGTTTTTCCTGAGCAAGGTCAAGGGAAGCTGTTTGGAGCCCTGCCTACTTTCAAAGATGAGTCAGCAGCAGCAGAGGCTGGCTTCTGTGGGGCACTGCGTTCCAGATCATTCCACCCTCCAGGGCTGCACCTGTTGGTTATCAGGAGTAGCGCCTCCCTGCCTGCCTCCCTCCCTCCCTCTCCCCTCTGCCTCCCTCCCTGCCTGCCTGCCTCCCTCCCTCCCTCTCCCCTCTGCCTCCCTGCCCGCCTCCCTCCGTCCCTGCCCCACTTCAGGAGGCTCACCAGATACTTGGTCCCGGCACCATGCATCCTCACGGCCCTCTGGCCGGCCAGGGTCTCCAGCACTACCTGGAGAGGGCAGGACAGAGAGTGGTGCAGTGGCTCCTGGGGGCTTGGCAGGGAGGGCCATATGCGGCGGGGCTTGCGGGGTGGACAGGAGCACAGCCCTTAGACGGGCAGATGAGGGCGGGCTATGGGACTGATGCTTCGGTGGTGTGGAGGGCCCACTTGAGGAAAAGGACTGCAAAATTACACATATGAAAGGAGATGCAGGGCCCCCATGGGAGGGGCCCATGTCAAGTAGAGAGGGGCTCTTGAGCTGAGGCTCCTGTTAGCTTCCTGCCAGATTGGCCTCCGGTCTCCTATGGAATTATCCAGGCCCTCCTGCCTTTGCTTGGCCACAACTCCCCCACCCCCGAGCCAGCAAAGGGGCCAGGGGCTCACCACGCCGAAGCTGAAGGTATCCGTGTCCACGGCCAGTCTCCCTGTCTTGACGTAATCCTCAGGCAGGTAGGCCAGGGTGCCACGCACGGTCCGTGTCCGGGCCACCGTGCTGCTCTGGCCGGGACTGGCCCCTGCAAAACGGCTGAGACGGGCCAGGCCAAAGTCTCCCAGTTTGGGCATCAGTCTCTCATCCAGAAGGACGTTGGAACTTGGGGAGGGAAGGAGCGGTGTCAGGTCGGCCCTGGCCCGCTCTGCACCCGACACTTGCCTGGCCCTGACAACCCTGGACTCAGGGTGGTCCAGCTACCCGGGGGCTCCCAGCTACTCGGGGGCTCCCTCACACGGTTCGGTCTGTGCTCACCGGGGCGGGGGGGGGGCATCCTTGGCCTCTGTTTCCACACCTGTCCCATGCCAGGTACTCAGTGACCCAGGGCCCCCAGCTCTGATGTCCCAGGTCTCAGGGCTCCACCCCGTCCCTCACCTCAGCCTCAAGCAGGAGAGGGCAGGCCTATTCTCATGGGGGACACCCAGAGCAGGGCTCCTCGGGGCTCGGAGAGCAAGTACCACTGCTGCCTACTGACAGAAGGTTTGGGAGCATCACTCCCCTGCCACAGACTCTATCCTTACAGCGCTTAGAGGCCCCAGGGGCCTGTGTCCCCGCCTCACCTTTTGACATCTCCATGGATGAGGCTGGGGCTGTCCTGGTGTAAAAACTGAATCGCCCGTGCTGTGCCCAGAAGGATGTTCAGTCGCTGAGGCCAGGAGAGAGGGGGGCAGGCCTGGCTCTGGAGTGGCAGAGGAAGCAAAGGGGCTGGGAGGGCCACGGTTCCTTGACCCCAACTCTCCCTCCACCTGTCACTGTGGGTTCTAGACAAGCCGCTTCACTCTCTGGGCCTCAGTTTCCTCTTCTGGAAAATGAGGAGCAAAATCTGCATGAGCTACTTCACAAGAAGGTGGAGAGTAAGCTATTCCACTGCTTTGGAAAGCATGCGGAACGTGCTTCCCGGAGTCATCGTGAAATGGGGCGCTCCTCAGTGCTTAGAGCTCCCTCCGCCTCTCTGGGGCCATCGGGATGCTGTCAGAGGCATTCTCCCCAGCTCCCCCAGCACAGCATGCCTGTCCTGAGAGCGGAAGTGCCCTGTGTGCCGTCAGCCCTTGCGTCTTGTGGGTGCGTGGCTAGCGGAGGGTCAGCTGCAGGTCCAGATGGCGCAGTTTACTGCCCACTGCCTCCTACTCTTGAGGGCCGTGCTGATAAGACCCTTCAGCTAGTCTGCTTGCCAGAGGAAGGGGCGTGAGTTGGGGCACCGAGTCGATAACCCCCTTTTTAGAGGCAGCTTGAGCCAGGCTCCCAGGCACGCAGAACAGCCGGGGAGGGACCACGGGAAAGGGTGCCAGGGAAGACGGCAGCCCACCTTGGGCCAAAGCCTGAGCCCGGGCCCTGCCCGCTGGTGGGACCCACTCACAGAGCCTGAGAGCTTCAGTCAGGTGCTGGGAGTGCTGTGGGGCCAGGGAAGCGTGCCAGGCCAGGGACAGCTACCTGGGAGTGCAGGCGGTCTTCCAGGGAGCCATTGGGCAGGAAGCCATAGACGAGGCAGTAGAAGCCACTCTGAGCACAGTAGCCAGCGAAGTCCACGATGTTTGGGTGACGAAACCTGCTTGCAAGAGGGGGACCTGAGCGCTTTCCATTTGGCCATCGCGGGGGTGGGCTCTGGGGGCCTGAGGGAGCCAGGTACCATGCTTTGTGGTCCTGGAGGCCAACGGGGCCCTGACCCGGTTCTCCCTCTGCCCCCAGACTCACCGTGACAGTTGCCCCACTTCGGTCAGGAAGCTCTGCTTCACTGTGGTCCACTCCAGGTCGGCCCCCTGCAGCCCCCAAGGAAAATGAGGGCGGGGAGGCAGCATGAAGCTCTTGCAGCCAAGGCCTGATGGCCGCTCTCACTGCCACCTGTCCTGGGCCCAGAACCACCAAGGGGCTGGGGACCTCGAACCGGGGAATCAGAGGGCTGAACGAGGTACATGGGGGAGCATGGGAGAAGCACCAGAAAAGTGCGGGTCTGCTGACAACCTGCCAGGGCCTTTGCAGGGAAGGCTCCACCCACCTCCTTCAGCCTCTTCACAGCATACAGCGTGTTCCTCATCACCGCCCGGTACACACACCCGAAGCCACCCTCCCCGATCTTCAGCTCCTCTGAGAAGTTGTGGGTGCCCTGGGAGATCTCGCTGAGGGGCCAGCAGAATGGAGAGGGCTGGGCCCCCTGCAGGAGGGATACTGGGCTCTCTGGGTTAGGCTGTGGGCAGAGATCCTGGATCAGGTGAGGTCCTCTGTCTTCCCCTCTGCCCGACAGTCACAAGCGCCCCCTATCCCACTGCCTCCTGGCTGGCCCTACTGGGCTGGCTGGGGTGCCCAGGTGTACCAAAGGCTACATTTTTTTGCTCCTTGTCTTGAATATTTCCCTGGGGCAGGACCCACCTACCTTGGTAGAGGAAGGGGCTGGATATGGTGGTGGTGGCTGGAGGGCAGCAGGGCTTGGGACAGGACCGAGCTCAGCCCCAGAATGGGTCTGGGAGCCTGGAAAAGCTTCATAAAGATAACCAGTGAGAGGCAGGCAGAGACCGATGGCATGGTTTATGGCAGTGGCCATGGTCAAGGTGGCCCTTTCCACAGGTCCATCAAGCCCAACACCCGGGTCCTCTTACCTGGGGAGGGGAGTGTGGAGGCTGACGTCTGCAACTTCCGGGGGCGGGGGACCTCAGCCTCACAGGGTGCAGGGGGGCTGCTGGGCCTCGGGGTGCTGGTGCTGGGGGGCAGAAGAGGGGCGGGAGGGTGCCCTGGGACACCAGGAAAGAAAACGGCGGTTAGGCCCAGGCGGGGGTGGGGTGGGGTGGGCGGGGAGGAGCCCCGTAAGAGGCCCCGCACCCAGCCCGGGGTCCTGGGGTTCCCCGGGGCCGCGCGCTCACAGGCCGTGATGATGTCCCGAGCGCGGAGCAACTGCAGGTGCGTGAGGATGCTCACGAGGTCGGCCACGCGGGCGTTGCGGTTGATCCAGGGCCACAGGACGCTGGCCGTGCGCTGTCCGGAGCGCTCGCACAGCCGCAGCTCGGTCTGGTCGCGCACGATCAGGGCGGCTGCGGGGCGGGAGGCGTCAGGCCTGGGCGCCCGGGGCCCGCGCGCCCTCCGCCCCCGCGTCCCCCCGCCCGCCGCCACGCACCGAACTGGCACCAGTCGGCGGGCTCCAGGGCGTCCATCACTTTGTAGAAGCGGCACATGACCCAGGGCGGCACCTCGTACAAGAAGTGCTGGGCGCCGGGGGCCGCGGGGTCCCCCGGGCCCGGCCCACCGGCCATGGCCGCCGCCGCCCCCGGGCCAGGGCCTCTTGGGGCCTCTCGAGGCCGGGGCGGGCGCGGGCCTTGGCCGGCCGGGTCCGCGGACACTGACTCACTTCCCCTTTAAGCCGGCCTCGTGCAGCGCCCGGCGGGGCGGAAGGGGCGGGGTCCGGGCCCGCCGCCATCTTGCCCGCCGCCGCCGCCGCCGCCGCCGCCGCCGCGACCCTCGGCCACACGGGGGCGCGGCGCGCGGTCTCTGCCCGCGAAGGCCGCGCCCCTGGGTCCGGTTGGGCGGTGAGGCGGGCTTCTCGGAGGAGGGGCCCCCTGAGTGGGGCTCTGAGGGATGGAGCAGCGCGGTTCCGAGCACTGGGACAAAGGTCATGGCAAGGCCCGGGACATTCCAGAAAGGGCTAGAGCTGGGCCTTGTGAGCGTCACTGGGAGGTCCCCTTACGAACTTTTGGCTTCATTCGGGAGGCAGCAGAGAGTCGTCAGAGATCCCAGGCGGGGCAGGGTCAGATGTGGGTCACACAGAGGACCCCCGCTGCGTCCTGTCAGCTGGCCATGAGGCTGGGTGCAGGGAGAACGATCTGGAAGCTTGTACAGCAGGCTGCCCCAGCTCCGAGCGTTGTTGCCCACCTCCTCCGCCCTGCATGCCATCTTTTCCACTTCTTCAGGAACCTGCTCCAGCAATTATTTGCTCTTTGCAGTGTTTGCAACTTTTCCTTCTTTGGTGGCTTCTTCCCACTAGCACGTAAAACGTGTTTACGCCTCTTAAAAACAGGCCTTCAGCTTCTGCTGCGCCTCCTCCCTCTTGTTGCCATGCTCCTGGCTCACTTGGCACTACCCCCTGTGAGGATGGCAGAGTCCAGCCTCTCCCAGGCAACAGGCTCGGTTCCTAGGCTGTCTGATGTCTTCACCACATTAGTCCGTCTTGCCCATTCCCACAGTGCTCTGCAGCTACTGCTTTCTTTGGATTCTCTGGTGCTCCTCCATTCCAGCAGCCCCTATTTTGCGGTCATTTCCCCGAACATCTCTGGAGTCCATTTCTTCCCCAGGCCCCCTGCTCTTGCGACTCCCTCCTACCCTGAGGACCCTAGGCCTCTCTGGGCAGAGCTGCCTGCAGCCCCTGCTGTGCTTGCCATCTGCGGCGTGTGAGCGTCTGCCCTTGTTTGCCTCCCGCTCTAGATGGGGAAAGACCCCACCAAGCAGCAACAGTGCCTGCTCTTTTGTTTCTCCAGTTGGATGAGTGCTTGCACGGCAACAGGTCTCCTTCCCTCACCACCCGCCCCCCTCGATTCTGACCCCAGAGGGCTCCCCTTCAGGCTGTCCCCCCAAGATGGGCCTCCATGGGAGCCGCTCTCCCCAGAAGTCACAGCCATCACCAGCCACACCCTGGGCCCCAGTGCTTTCTCATGGGGACAGCCTTTACAAAGACTACCAACTCCAGTACAGGAAATTACCATGCACACACACACTAAGCCCTAAAGGAACAGCAACTTTGTCCTCCTCGTTCACTGCTGGACAGAGGCTCCCAGGACAGGCCTGGCACACGAGACATGCTCAATACACACAGGTCAAATTTCAACCCTTTGTTTTAACCTTCAAGGCCAGGACATTCGAGTGCACCTTCTAGCAGCGTGTGCCCACATTTATTTGCATGTGAAGCTGGACTCTGAGCAGTTGTCCCCTCCAGCCCAGCAACAGCCTCGTAAGAACAGCTGTGGCAGGGCAGGCAGCTCCTGAGTGCCAAATTTGCAAAAGGTCTGCAAGCCCCACAGTGATGACAGCGCCCCCTTTGGGCAGGGGGCCAGGTCAGCAGAGGCCACGGGAAGGTCTCAGGCTGTAGGCACAGGAGCCGGAGCTCGGGGATGGCAGCTGGTTTCCAAAAGCACCTGGACAGAGGAGGCACCCCTGCCATGGCCCTCAGGAGCAGGGGATTTGTGCGGCTGTGCAGAAGGGCTGCAGCCCACTTGCCTCTGGACCTGGGGCTCAGCGGGCCGACCCGTGCCAGGTCCTTCCCAGCCTGCCACCCCAGAGCTTCCCATCACACGCTGGAGCAGTGCGCCTAGAAAGTGTAGCCTCGGAACCCAAGGGGAGGCAGTGTATGGAGCAGGCTGGTCTTTCCTCCCAAGGCAGTCCTGGAAGCAGCTGGCTATTTGGGTTCAGGGACAGCCAGACGGAATCAGGAAACATAGCACCATGCTGTCCTGTGAGCTGTCTGATAATGAAAGCCCAGACCTTGAGTCACTTTCACAGAGAGATTTATCGAGAATGCTAACAGCACAGGATACAGTACTTCCCAACAAAAGGTGCAAACGCGTCACTTAGAAAGGCATGCTGAGTATTCTTTGCTTTCACACGTATTAAAAAACTTACAAAAATAAAATAAAACTGCGTGCTGCCCATCTTTTCAAATAGTAAAAGAACCTTATGAAAAAATCACTTGATTTTACAACAAAAGACACAAACGGACATTTTTATGTAAATTTATAAGGCAAACTCTTTATATAATAAATAGGTTACAGGGATTCAGTGGGGGGGGTGTTTTTGAAACGTATACAGGTACATTCAGACAGGTTTACTGAAATGGTACAAATTTCCTTAATAAATTGCCTTTTGTTTTTAAATATATCAGTGCTTTCAGTCATTTGGCTATACACAAAGAACCTTTTTTTGAACACTACAAAAAAGCAATCAATATTTTTTGTTTTTAAAACGACCTACTTATTTTCTAAAGTAATTGTCCCAAAACACAAAAACTGAAGGTGAATGTGATGGAGGGCTTTGGAGACATCTCTAGCCAAGTCTGCCCTGGGCTGCTCCCTGTCCCACACACACCTCTCTCCCACCCTCACCGGGCTTCCGAGCTGGAGCTCCTCTGTCTAGGGTGTCCAGTGTCACTGTGACTCAGGAGGGGGCAGCCACCCTGCCTGGTTCTTCCTGATACTAAACCCATGTGCAAACAGTCATGACAGTCAGCATTGTCTTCGCCTTTGGGGGGGGGGGAGGGCTGGGTGCTAAGGGAGCACACATCTGTCCCTGTTCCGTGAGCCCAAAACAATGTCTGGTGGGGGTAATGGCTTTTCTCAGAAGGATCTGGTTTTGCCAGGGGAAGGGAAGTGGGGTTTCTCATGCCCAAATTTTGCTGGGGATCAGATGACAGCAAAGAGAGTGCACCCCCTCCACCATCGTCATATCACCCAGGATGGTGAAGAATCTAGAGGTCACATTACTGTTGTATACTCTGGGACTGGGTGGGTTGTGATGGGGGTGTCCTGAACAGTAATGCCTACCACCTAGCCTGTCCAGGAAGAGCTGCATCAGGTGGAGAGTGGCCAAACTGCCCTGTCAACATACAACTGACCTGTGGCCACAGTGGAGGTCTCCAGGGAGATGACCACCCTTATTCTGAGCTATGCTCCTCAGGCCTGCCCTATCCTCCTTCCACTGAGGCAAGGTCGGCTCTGCTCACACCCCTCCCGTCTCCCTTGGAAGGAACATCAACCTTGTCTGTCCTTAAAAATAATGACGATGCTAATAATCTCGGGGGAAAAAAAGGCAACAGAATCCACCGGGTGGAACAAAACCTGGTTTTGCTCTGACTTTGAAAATGGCAACATATCAGCTATTTGGTCTGTTGGCTTAGGTTTAACTTCTTTGGGTGGCATCTGGCTGATCTGGGCAGGGGTCATCTCTTCGGATCTCCCCTCCTGGGGAAAAAGGACAGCCCCTCTCATCTTGGTCACCATCCCCTCCCTCCAAATTCTTTTGTTTGTAAAGAAAAGGTGTCTAGAAGCATTTGTCTCTGGAACAATTACTTTAAACATGGTTACAATACAGACTTCAGTTCAAACACAGAAGAGATTTACTTAGCAAATTTCCTTTCACCCACCAAAAATTACACAAATATAAGCCTCAACACCACAGTTAAGAGGACCAGTAGAGAGAACCTCATGTTTGGAACACAAAAGGAGAAATAAAAACCAAACCAAACCCAAACAGAAAAACCCCAGAAAAACGATGGAAGGATGAGGGAGAAGGGGAGGAGAGCAAACACAGCACACGTTACAGTGTCCGGGTACACGGGAGCCCAGCGCGAGGAACGGGCTCGGCACACATTGAGTAACAGTCCTGGTGATATTTGGTCATATATTCATCAACTACTGACTCTGGAGCGGCCGTTATTGATTGAAGCAGTGACAAATCAAACGGAAAAGGAGGCCTTGGTAGCAAGGGAAGGAGCAGGCTTCAAGTTCTGCAAGCCTTTTGCACTCCACCGTCCAGCTCCCCAGAAACACTCAACTGGGTGGGCCCTGCTCCGTCCAGGTGGGCGAGAGGTCACTGGGTGAGGCTAAGTTGGGCGCTGATTTCAGATTTCAGTCAGAAAGCACGCACGTGGACACACGTGGACACCCACCTGTTAGTGGCAAACAGCAGCAGCAACGGCCTCCTCGCCTCCTCTGCCCCCATCCCAGGCTGGGTGGGAAAGGACGTCGTGACCCACTGCTAATACTGAATGCAGGCTGGAGTGGGCCCCAGACTGGGCCCAGAGGCTGCCCCAGCCCAGGTCCTCCGAGGGCCCCACAGGTAGCCTGGCCACCCAAAGGGCTTATGAGTGTTTCTCTTTTGGTTCAGGCCTCAGAAGAAGTAATGATGCAGGGAGGGAAGCTTTTGGCCCTGGTGATTATAATGCTCTCTGCTTTGGAAGAACAAGTTTCTGGGTTGTTGTAGTTGTTTTCTTTTTTCTTTTTTTTTTTTTGGTGTTTTTTAATTACTTAAAAAAACGATCAAAAAGAACTGTTACGGCTAAACTCTCTAGCAGATATTGCTCATTAAGAATTACAAAAGCAAATGCAGTTACTCGTAGGATGGGGGAGAAGAGACAGGGATTTTCTGGAGTCTTTGCTACCTCCTAGGGGGGACCCAGTGGACTCTTGTATGTGGTTCTGGGGTCCCTGGTGTCTACCTGGTGCAGCTCACACATTCAGAGATGTGATAGGCCTCCCATCTGCCCTCCAGCCTCAGCAAAGTGGAAGCCCTATTGGTGGGGAGGCCTGCTGAGCTGACTCTCCATACATGATCACTCTGACTGGGTCACTGGGAGGGCTGGGGGTGGGGTCAGGCCATCCCCTCCCTCCTGGACTCCAGCTGCCCCATCCAGAGGTCGAAGGGGGCCAGGTGGTACCAACTACATTCCAGACTTTGCCAGGGCAAGGAAGCGCTCTTACACCCACCCGTTGAGGTGAACTGTCTTGCACCAGCATCCTGGGACCTCTCTCGCAAGCATGGGAGACAGTGCAAAACCCGGATGCTGCCTGGAGCCTCCTTCGCTTGGCACAGGGAAGCCCTTGAAAGAAGCGAGGAAAGACCACGGATCTGCTTGGACAGAAGTGACCAGCAGACAGATTTGTAGTTTTTTTTGTTTTTTGTTTTTTGTTTTTTTTTGTTTGTTTGTTTTGTGTTTTTTTTTATAATTTCCCTTGTCCTATGCTATGGTTATCAGAAATATTGTAATTAAGCAACAGGTATAATTTTAACAGATCTTTTGTGTGTGTGTGTGGAGCCACAAGCAAAATGAGTGTATAATTGTGCAATATACAGATATATATATATAAAAATTCAACTGCTCTGTGTGTCTAGTTGGTGCATTAAATAAAAGGGACAGAAAAACTAAAACCAAAGCTAAAAAGCGAAACAAAAGCCCAGGATAGAGGAGACCAAGCAGGCCTATGCGTATAGTCTATAAGATATTGGATATAATCAGGGTCACCAGGAAGAACACCTTTGTCACTGGACACACAAACACTGAAGGGAGAGGGACTACCAGTGAGCAGGAGCCAAACCTCTTGTTGGCCTTTTCATCTCATTGTCTCTTGCTGCTGAGGACCTGAGAAAAGGTAAGCTCGAAGGGGGGCTAGGGGAGCAAAGGCAATTTGCAAGTTTCCCTAATGCTCTCAATCTCAAAGGCCGGACTTCCCTCTGGGAAGGTCTCGGCTCTGCCCCGGTACCTGTTCTTGTGCCTGCCCTCCCTCTGGCCCAGGGGCTCTCGCTGGTAAGGGGCGAGGGGGGGACACACCACAGGGAGTGCTCAGGCCTCTGTCTTCACCTCTGCATGCAGAAGGGAGCACCACTTCACCTAGACCCTGGGCCCCAAGGAGAGCAGAGAGGGGGAATGTCCTCAGGGAACAGGCAGAGGCCAAAGGGGAGACCTCACCCTCATCTTCCTAGTTGCCTGGGCCCTAGTTAGGACTTCCTTTTTCCCGAAAAAATCAGCACTTGGGGAACATCCTGTCGAGATGAGAAAGGAACAATAAACAGGTGGTGCTGGGTGGTGAGAACGTCGCAGGCCTTTGGACTCACTGGTGACACTCTGCTTCCCACACCAAGTGCTGGGCTCCTACAGCTTTGGGACCAGGCAGGCAGCCCTGCAGGACAGGGGGCTCCCCAGTGCGAAGATGGCCCCGAGTCTCAGATCCAGCAGCTTCAGGCTGGATTCCCCTTTTCCTGGAGCACTCACATGTCAGGCCAAGCTCCAAATATTTTTGTATCAGCACTTTTGCAAAATCTTGCTCTTATTCATTCAGCAACATTGAAATGTAATTTTCTGCCAAATGTTTTCTAGATTTTCCTTCTGAACTGTTCAGAACGGGTTTCAGTGTTCACATTTTTCCCCTTTAATATGTAACTTTAGACCCTGGGGGAGGCAGTATGCTAGCGATATATAACAGACTATGCCTTTTCTAAAGATTGATACAGCATCTAAAAGAGAAAGACGAAAAAATGGAGACTCGACAAACCCCTCCAGAGTGGACGAGTTTACTGGCGGAGAGAGCAAAGGTGGGACCCTTACAGAGAACAAAGTAAGATCAGGAACGCGACATGGTGGGGCTGCAGGGGCTCTACCACCGGCTGGGTGATGCTGTCATGCTTGCCCCCGCTGCTCCCCACCCTGCTCCCCACCCTGCCCCCATGAGCCAAGACTCCAGGAACAGGGCTCTAAACACAGCTTGCTTCCTGAGGTCTGGGCCACCAGTCCTAAAATCTGTGCGTGACTCACATTAGGAAACAATTCGGGGCGACACTGGCTAGGAAAGGATGCGCAAAAGGCTTCTCCAAGAACCAGCACCTGTGACCTTCCCTGGCTCCATCAGCCCAGAGAGCCAGGCGCAAATGCTCCGGAAAGGGGGCGCAGAGCTCAGCTGCTAGGCTCCACTTGGGTTCTGCGGGATCCAGTCGCCCCACCTGGGGAGTTCACTTCATACCTGTTGCTCCCTCCTGCGCTTCAGTTGCTTACTAAAAGTTACCTTAATCCAGAGATCCTGGCAGCTAAAGAAACACCTTTCCCACCAAACATGGCAGTTTGCTTCAGGCTAGTACCTCCTATCATCCCTGTCAGAGCAATGAAAAGCTGCGTGGAGGAGCAGGTGACAACTTGGGGCTGCTCTGGGTCCTGGTGCCCCTGAACAGACTGTTGCCCGCACCTGCACGGGGTCTCAGGAGTAGAAGCCAGGTGCTGGCTGTGGCCAGTGTCCCTGGGCCACCACCACGGCTTTCACCTCCCAGGGAGTTGAGGGGACTGAGGTCCTTGGGTCGTTTGGCACTGATGGACTGGGGAACAGGGCATTTCTAGGTGTCGCCTGTGCCTTCTGATAAGGGGAATACAGCAGCAGCAGAAGGGAGCTGTCTTAGAGCCTGGCTGTGGCTCGGTGCCCTGGTTCGCTACAGTGTCAAGGCCAGCGGTTCCACTGGTTAGGGCAGGCCCACCAACGGGCAGGGCAGGGCAGAGCTGGGCTGGGCATTGTAGGAGGAGCTCAAGGACATACAGCATTCTGTCGGGAGAGGAGGTAGTAACTAACAACTAGAACGAGGGTGGGGGAGGCTGAAAGTGACTGTGACCTAGCCCTACAAACAGGTGTCTGAAAGCAGTCAGTTAATTTCTGTATTCTTCACACAGTCCCTAAAAGATGCCCCCAATCTTTATGATGTTCAAGCACACACAAAATCGAGGTCACACCCCCAAACTGGGCTGGACACGGCTGGTGAGAATCCCATGGCCTGGCTTTCCCTCCAACCTCCTGTCAACCTGACCCAGGACAGGGGTGGTATGGGAGCTGCCAGGGCGACAAACCACCAAGGTGACCTGCTTAATGGTGACTTACTTGTGATGCCTTTATTAGGTGAAGAAAAGGGAATGCGAAAGAATGGGGAGAAGGAGAGAAAACCCTAAGGAGCCTCAGGGGCTACCTGCAGCTTCAGAACTGTAAGGAGAAGCAGCTGGGGAGCGAGGGGGCTGCAGGTCAGACCAGGCCGAAAGAAAATGAAACTTGAAATGCTGTGCTCTCAACCACCAATGCCCAGTCAGCCCCTGAAGGGTCACAGGTGAAAGGGGGGCATGGCGGGCCCCGCACTCCTCTTCCCAGGACCAGATGGTACTGAGCTGACACTGGTTCCGGGAGTCACATTCCACTGGACTAAGTGTAATGCATAAAAACCCAACCGACCAAAACGGATGGTGTCTCCACGACAAACTGGCCGGACGCTGTACTTGCGTGGACAGGCATCCTTTGTGGGTGCCAGGAGTGCGAGGCCACTTCGGGGTCAGGAGCCTTTTGTCCTTGAAGGAAGAGGGATCCTGAAGGACTTGCCCCCTCCTCCGACCCCCCTGCCCTTCCTGGGGAGGAGTCAGAAGTGAAGCCCAGAGGGTCAACAGCAGAGGGGGTCTGGTTGTGGGACTTGCTTTTGCAGCATAAGGAAATGGGTACAAAAATGCTACAAAGGCCAACTATGATTCTGCAAACAGAATGGGGGCAAACTCCCTTGCTTCTAACCATTCCGGAAGAGACAAACGCGGTTTTTTTCTTAAGCTACTGATTGGAACTGTCAACTATGGTTCCTGATCACTAAGGACTGGCAAGGAAGTGCTAGACGGTTTTTAGGATGTTTCACTCCTTCATGGTTACACTGCAGTAAGGAAGCCAGGGGACAATAACTGAAATACACGAGACAACACGCACTTGACAGTTCATGGCAGCAGCTCGCATGGGACGTGCTTGTGGGTGTTTCTGGAAGCATAAGACTGCTGTCTCATTTGCTACTTTGATAAGGTACTTCTCAGTTGGACAGATTTAGATATAAGAGACATCTCTGTAAACACAGAAAAGGATATACCAATATGATGAAGATATGCAGCTAGATAAGGACTTCCTGAACACAGAATGAAAGGATGGGGTCCTAAATGGAGATTGATCAATGAAAACCCATAGCAAACCCAAGCCGCTCAGCCCCCACACCATTCCCCTGGCATAGATGTGGAGATGTGTGATATGCTGGCCCTACCCAGTCTCCAGCAAGCAAAACCCAGACATTTTCCATCAGAAAAGAACTCATGGTTAACTTAAGGGAGGAGCAGAGGGGCCAGGAGCCTAGGCACTGGTCCCAGCTCAGGTCTGGGGCATCTGCCATTTCTTCCAACCTGCTGCCTCGTTGCACCACACTGTGCTAGCTGGGCCTGGCCGAGGCCAAGGTCAGGGCCGGGCTACTTGATGACTATGGCAGGCCATGGGGGCCTCTGCACTACCCTCAGCTCCCAAGTCCAAATCTGCCCAACTTCGCCTGCCTGCTTCTCTCGAGTAGGTTGAGAAGGCCCAGAATCAGGGTCTGACCAGGGAAGGGAGCTCCCTAAGAGAGCAGGATCTTGCTGCTCTCTTGCCTTTCAGAGAGGCCAAGGTGCTAGGGCCAGGTGGACTCAGCAGAGCCCGGGGCTTCCTCAGGGCTCAGAATGGGGGTGTGGCTAGGGCTAGGGCTGGCAGTGGGAAGGCCCAAGGGTAGGGTGAGATCTGGGGGCCTGAGCTGACCAGCATCAGCTCAGGTAAAGCTGGGAACTGTGGGTGCCTGGTACAGAAGGGATGAACGAGGAGGGGAAGAAATGAAAGGATGAATGAAAGGCGGCAGAAATGGAAGGACAGAAGAGAAACCAATCAGGAAGTCCTTATAAAATTGCAGCAAACACTTAGAGTTTCGGAGCTTCGTGGGAACCCTATGTGCTGAGCCCACTTTAAAACAAGCGCAGGTATATACAGATCCAGGTAGTTCTAAACACTGTCATGTCTGGTGGCTTGAGGGACGAAGTGTCACCAATTCAAGCCAGTTTGCTCTCAGAGCATGTTTGTTTTGAAGTGGGAACATGAAGACTCAATAGTGCAAATAGTTCTAAGCTGTCCCTAAAGGAGTAGAATTGAAAAGTTTTGGAAGAACATTTTCCCCTCCTTCCCCCTGGCCCCCCAACCTGTCCACTGGGCCTCTACCTACCAGTCACAGAGTGCTCTGAGCGACTAGGAATTCCATCGGCCCCACTGCTCTCTGCCACCCGGAGGAGCCCAGGAGCCCGGGGCCAGTGCGCCTCGCCCTGTCGCTTCCACAGCCTCTCTCTCTCTCTCTCTCAATCTCTCTCTCTCTCTCTAGCGCCACCCACTGGAGAACGGCCCGGGGCTGTCCTCTCATCTGGTCACCTGGCTCAGGCCAGTCTACACCCAGCAGCTCAAAGGACTGACTCCCTCCTAGCCATGCCAGAACTGGAGCGAACAGGTGCTACCTCCCTGTCCTGTGAAATGTCCTAGTCGGTTTTGGATTGGGGCTGGTGTGGGGCCAGATTTGTGCCACCATGGGTGAGATCACACAGGCTGTAGCCACTGGCCATCTCTGTCTTTTTCTCTAAAGAATCCAACTGTCTCTCCTGCCTCACACCTCCTTGTCCCAATGTGGGTGGGGATGGGGGAGGCGGGGGAGCTGGAGGATGGGGGTGGGGCAGGGTGGGGGGAGAGGAGAGCGGAGACTGGGGCACCAATGGCACTCTCTGTCCCTAATGACCACATGGGGGGCGTGGGGGGGAGGTCGGGGTGGGAGGGGAGGTGCAGGCATACCCTAAGAAGCCTGGTCAACAGCTTGTCTGGTCAGTAGTATCTGCAGCAAGCCTTGTTGAAGGAGCCTAGTTTAGAAAAGTGCAAAGCTACTTCTGGCCCTGGTTAGGTCTTCAACCTGACTGTGCTTGTCGGTAAGAAAAACATCCCAATGCTCCAACTACTCCCACCCTGAAGCCACGAAACTCTAAGTTTACTGAAAGAAAAAAAAATATTTTTTATTTCAGTTAATCGGGAAGCTTTGTCAGAGCCCTACCCATAAGGAGAAGAGACAACAGCTGCCTTTATTCTTGTTGGTTTGCTTTGCAATCCGCTCTGTGTAAAGTCAGCTAACTCTCTCGGTCACGGGCGTCCGGCTGTCCACAGGCTCCTCTCTGTTTGGCCTTGGCATGGAGGATGAAACAATGTCTTTGCGCTCTCCCTCCCCTCGGTGTTTGTACTTGTCTGCGGCCGTGGCGGCGGTCGCGACCGCGGGCTGAGTCTTAGCTGGCTCCTTGGGGCAGCCGTCGCTCTCCAGCGAGCCTCCTCTCGCCATCTTCTCCTCTTTGCAGACGCCGCTGCTCAAGTCCTGGGGCTCAGGGGGGCTGGCGGGGTCCTCGGAGCTCTGGGGTTCAGGTGGGGGTGGGGGCGGGGGTGGAAGCAGCGGCGCGGGTGCCTTCGGGGGCTCTGAGTGGTGGTGGTGGTGGTGGTGCTCCTTCTTGGGGGGTGAGGAGGCGCTGCTGCTGCGCCCCTTTGGGCTGCTCTCCTTGCTTTTCCGCCCGGGGCTCTTGCAGGTCTTCAGTCCCTTCCCACTCTTCTCACCGAGGGTGGATACCAGCAGGGGCTTCACCACCTCCTTCACCTCGATGCTGACTGTCTCCCGGGTCTTGCGCTTCTTGATGGGGAGCACGGTCTCCTGCACGGACCGGATGGAAGACTCCTTCACTGCTTTCTTCTTGGCCTCTGCGGCAGCGGCTGCCACCACACTGCCCGGCTTTCGGCCCCGCTTCTTGGGAATGGCCTGGGGGTCGGCTTCGGCTTTTCGCTTCCTGCCAGGGCGTTTGATAACCATGACCTGGGCTGACGTGGTGGCCCCGCCGCCCCCTTCGGCCTTGCTCCCTGGTGAAGCTTGAAAAGGCATCTTGACGAGCAGCTTCCCGGGACTTTTCTCCAGGACCCTTTTCACCTGCACACCCTCTGATGCTGCTGCCTTGGGTCTCGCAGTGCCGCTCCCTTTGGGGCGTCCCCGACCTCTGCCAGTTCCTGGAGCTTTGGGAGATTTGGGCTTCTTAGGTGGTTTCTGCTCTCGCCGGGAGGGGCTCCCTCTCCCAGTTACCGTGAAGTCAAAATCATTAGGGTCCAGGGAGGTGTCGCCTACCTTTTCGAAGTACGCAATCAACTCCACTTTAGAGCGAAAGGCTTTTCCCTGGGGACTGTGGGAACAAATGGAGAGACACAAAGAATGATTAGAAGCTTCCACGCTAATGTACAAAGATGGGGCAGAGCAGAAGGTGGTGAACTCTGTGACAGGACGTTCTGCAACTGACCTGCCTGATGATACTACTGAATGAGAGTCACAGTAGAGAAAAGCCAAAACAGGCTGAAAGTAGAGGGGCACGGCGACGGCCACACATGAAGCAGTCGGGTTGCTGGGCGGTGGCAGCGGGCACCTAGAGGGTGTGCTCGCTCCAGTGACAGCTGTTGCCCGGATGCCCCTGAGGGTCCGCCTACCACCAAGGCCCCTCCGTTGGCCCCCAAAGGGGCCTGGCCTGGGGACTCTCTTGAGCCATCAGGCTGGGGGGCCCATTCTGCTGGTTGGTGCCTGGGCCCACTCAGGAAGTAGAGCACTCCCCTGTCTGAACCTGGGCATGCTGCTTAGCCTCTTTGGGATCGGTTTCCTCATCTGTCAGTAGGATAATGCTTTGCTCACCCTTGTCAGAGTTGTTGGAATCAAACGAGGTTGTCTGCAAATGTCTTTCCAAAACTGTTAACCTTTTCTGGATCATGTAAGGGCCAGAACTAAAATGTACTTATTCAGTCCTTCTCTGAAGCTCTTACTATTTGAACAGAAAATGCCCAAAGACCAGCCCAAAGCTGGACAAATGCACCAGTGACAGCTGGAAAGACATGTGTCTCTCCCCAGAGGCCCTGTCAGAGAGCCCAACCTTTCCCAACATGATTCACAAAGTGGACTGAGCCCTATGAATTCCTACTTCTTCTGGGTCATAAAGCCATGTCACAGAATAACTCACAGAAAGAAGAGTTTTAACTGGTTTTGAGAAGAGCCCCTCAGCTGGATGTTTTTCAGCAGGTAAAAGGGAGGAACCCAGAGAGCTCTGCTTGCCTTCCAAGCACAGGCCATGACACATGGCAGGTCCTGTGGCCTCTGGGCCCAGCCTGGGCAGGGCCTTGTGTCCTCAGTGTTTCCCAGGTGACCTCTCCTGGTCTCCTCACTGTGGCCCTGGGTAGGCTCTACTGCTATGCTACCTCCAGACAAGACCTGAAGGGCTGGTGGAGTAAAATCACTCTCTGCTACCCTGTGTACATCTCACTCAGGGCAGTGACCTCTGTACACAGTCATTTCCAAACACACCTGGTGGGGTCTGCAAGTGGTCTACCGAAGCCCTCCCAACCCAAGATGGGGTTACACACACACATCTTCCTGATCAACAAGTAACAAAGAGCCGCCACTCTAAGGGATCCCCATTAGTTTCTTAGCACCTGTCCCCAACCTCCTGCCCACCCAGCCTTCCCTGCTCTGTAGAGACAGGAGTTGCCCTTACTTACTTGATCAAATACACATCATACTTCCCAGCGGAGCGGCCAGATTTCCTTTGCTTAAGCTTTCGGGTCCAACCTTCAGGCAGAGTGGGGTCATCATACATGGGTCCCCGGTCACGAATGATGGAGCGCCGCTGTTTGGGGGAGGCAGAAGCTTCCGGGACAGCTGGGGCTGAGCCTGACCCTTCCGAGGTCTCCGCTTTGCCTGCCTCTGCTGGTTCAGCAGAGTGGTGAGCCGGTGGCTGCAGGGGCTCATGCTTGCCCTCTTTGTCTTCTTTCTTATCCTTCTTCACTTTTTTAAACTTCAGGGGTTTGTCCTTGAGGCCCTGGAGATCCTGGTCTTCTGACTTTTCTTCCCTGAAGTGTTAAATAAGTATGTAAGTATCACAGGGAACACACTGATTTGTAGAAAAAGTGAGCAATGGCAGGTTTGGGGTACCCCAGCACAGGTAGGGCTCTGAGAGACAGGGCTGCCCCGCCAATGCTCACCCAGATTTTGATGCCTTTCTCCTAGCTGTCCTGTGACCACTCTGACTCCTTCTGTCCCAAGTCCCACTCCTCTAACATACAAGAGAGTGAGCGGCCTGCACAGGTGGTATTCTTCTGAGTAGAAACACCATGTGGCTTCTTAGTGCAGCGCCTTGGAAGAGGCCACTTTACAAGCTGTGCCCGAGAGCCTCTAGGCTTGATGGCTAACAAGAGGCCCCTGACTGCTGGAGAGGGAGCTGCCCACCCAAAATGTGGGCAGGCCTACTCTTCACGAAGACCTGGCTTGGGTGTTACTATAGCCTCTGTATTTTAAGTTTTCTCAAATGTGTGCTTGATAAAAACCAGTCCTGGGGCACAGTACAACTTACTGACAGTAACAGAGCCTTGGGAGGTGGTGCACAGCACAGTGCTGTGGAAAGAACATGCAGGTTTTGAACCAGCCAACCTGAGTTCAAATCCTGACTTTGCAATTTCTAAACATGGGCCCAAGCAAGTGACCTCAACATCCCGTGCCTTAGTTTCCTCATCTTGACAATAGGTACCAACACCCCAGAGGGAGAAAAGTCACAAAGGCACACTATATAAACACCGGCCAACTCGGGCAACCAGAAACTGCTGCCCAGGGCTCTGCAGTGAGAAGAGAAGCCATCCCAGGTATGGTAAACTTTTATCACCAGACATTCCCTTACAACACATGACCGCCTCAGACTCGACCAATGGAAGGGAAGAGCAAGGACAACGGTGCAGGAGAGCACCCTCCCCAGGTTCCAGGGCAGGCGCCTCCCCATTCTTTCCCACTGACAGAGCAGCTCCTTCCCTATACTTTGGCTCCACCTGGTAGGGTCCCTTCCTTGTGTGCATCGGCAATGATCACCATGAGGCCCTGGACCCTGGAATCAGAGTCTGGCCATGATGTTCTTGGGGCAGGGCTAAGAGGGCAGAAACACAACCTGGGCTGGGGAGGCTTGGAATCGGCCATCTGCTGGTCTCTCGGCAATTCATTCTAGAAAAGAGTAAGGCTATTCCTGTCCTCAGGATCTCAGCCCTAGAACTGTCCTGTCCCACAAGGCTCGTGTCAGCACTGGATCACTACCTCATGGCCGGTCTACCCCAAGCAACCTCTCCCTTGTTCACACTGTGGAGACTCCAGTGAAGGCACTGTGGTGTGCACTGGTAACCAGACTCAAATGATGTGGGTAAGCTGCCAAAGGTGGGTTTGTATCAGGACACACTTGGCACCATGAGGACAGGCCTTTTCTAAACAGCTCAGGTCAGGGGTCAAGACACAGGCTCGCCCCTGAGTTCCTCCCTATCCTGGGTCATCCTCTAGCAGTTCAGGGCTTTGGGCACGGCTACCAGGGTCACCCTGATCCAGCCCATGGCCCATAGGAGATCTTTTCTTGCTGTAAAGTGAGGGTCTCTAATCTGTTGCAGCACAGAGCTTAGTTTTCAATCCTCGCAGTCTTAGCTCCTCGGCAGGAAATGAGGAAGAATCCTGGGAAGCTAGGCGTGGCCTGTGGCCTGCATGCCCCCATCACAGAGGGGAGAAGGGGAGCTTGCCAGCGGCAGAGTGGCAGATGGACTGGAACGACCACTTCCACACAGCCCACCACAAGGGCACTGCTGAAGGCCAGGGCTGCTCCCTGGAACCGGGATAGTCCTGGAGTCAGAGGACAACACTGCACCCATGGGAAAGGTCTGGCTTCTTCAGAATGCTCATTTATATTCCCCAAATGGTTTAACCACCATGAGGTCAGGTACAAACCACATGCCCCGGCAATGCATCTTATATATAAACAAGGGTCTCAATGCCATCAAGGGCAATCCCTTCTAGAACTCTACCCTAAAGAGGCACCCCCCAAATGCAAAACAACAGGTGTATGATGTTATTTGTAATGGCATTATTTTTCCTGCCCCAATACTGCACATAACTCAGAGAGCTGCCAGCAAGGACATGCGGAATGAATGGACGACACTAGGGATCGTAGGCTGCCTTACATGTGAGAAACAAGGGAAGAAGTGCTTCCTAGTCCCAGGGTGGGTGGGAATGAGGTAAGGTACAGGCGCGAGACAAAACCTCTCTGAATCACGTAAAAGTTTACATAACCAAAATGAAAACAAAAATAAGCGGTAACAAAATGTTACTATATTGAATGTAAACACAAACACATGAATTTTTTTTTTTTAAGATTTTATTTATTTATTTGACAGAGAGAAACACAGTGAGAGAGGGAACACCAGCAGGGGGAGTGGGAGAAGGAGAAGCAGGCTTCCCACTGAGCAGGGAGCCCGATGCGGGGCTCGATCCCAGGACCCTGGGATCATGACCTGAGCCGAAGGCAGACACTTAACGACTGAGCCACCCAGGTGCCTCCAAACACATGAATTTAACTGTATATCGAACTGATACCATACCACAGAGAAAAGATTTATTTCAAGTATCTCTGACCACAGTTCTCTGCACATCCTTGGTGGGACATACTCTAAGGCCTAATACGGCACCCCAGGGGCAGGGAACGCACCCAATGTCCACAGGAGGAGCCAGGCTGGCCCTGGGAGAAGTGGGTGGTTGTGGTTCTCCGGTGGCCTGTGGGGGCAGAAAGGCAGGGCAGTGCTTGGATGGAGAAAGGGAAAGTCAAAGGACACAGCTGCTGGTCTGGCCAAAAGGGCTCCTTGCACTAGGTGACACTGTGACAAGGCGAGTGTCCAAAAGAACAAACTGACTGGAACACAAGGAGGGACAAAAGAGGGAAAAGCCTATAGGAAGCAAGGGAGCAAGCCATGTGGCTACGTGCCAGAAGGTTCTGGGCAGCAGAGAGGCCTCAAGGGGGGATGTGGAGGGCTTTGTCAGGTTGCTATTGGGGAGCCTTGGGCAGGGGAAGGGATGAGGGCTCTTATCTTCCAAGGATCATTCTACTTGCTGTGCAGAGAGTGGACTTCAGGAAGCCACGTTCATATATTCTGGAGCTGGGAGGATCCCCAGAAAAACCACCCTTCCAACTCTTCAGTGTTACAGATGAAAAGAAAAGGAAGTATACAAAATTCCCTTGTGTGGTTGGGGAACTTGTCTGAGGTCACGGTTGAGTTGATGAATGTTCATCAACCGCCCTTGCCCTGAGCCAGACTCTGCTAGGGGCTGGAACAACAGGGCAGAATTATCATCATTTGGTCTTCAAGAGCCCCCAGTTTAGTCAGGGGGACAAGAAGTAACAAAAAAAATAGTGATACCCTTCCCTGTTCCAGGCACAGGGGAAGCCCAAAGATGGGGATTTCCTGGAGGAGGAAGGCTTGAGCTGGGTTTCCAGGGCTGAAGAGTTCTACTGGCTGGCAAGGAGGGCTCAGGACAGGCCAGTGATAGTAGGCAGTGATATCAATAGCTCCACCCCTAGAGGGAGGGGTGACTAATGACTCCTACCCTGTGTCACCAATGGCTCTGGCTGGCCCTCTCTCCCATATTCTTTTGGGTTAAGATGGCACTTCTGAGGAGCATTCCCTGCTCCTGCCTTCCCCAATCCCATGAGCAAGAGTGCCCTAGGCCCCCCAGTGTGGTTGGAATACACCACTACATAGGTCAGCCCCCGCCCCCCACCCCGGCACCGACGGTGCGTGCCTTCTTTACTGTTGTCTCTCCACTTGACGCACAGTGCCAGGCACAGGAGTGCCAAGTGACAATCACAACCCAGAGACTGTACCACCTTTGCTTCTTTTGATGACTGTATCCCTCTGACCAATAGCTTTGAAGAGCAGGGGCTAGCTTAGCACCCAAAGCAGGCACAGTCTGAGTAAGTGAATAAAGGATGAGTTTGGGTGCTACCGTAGCCTGCTGAGCACTGGTGGGCTGGGCTGGCAGGAGATGAGGCTGGGGCAGTAAGTGAGGGCCTGGGAGAACAGGCAGTGACAGTCTGTGGTGACAGGGAGGGCGGGGTGTGGGGGCAGCAGTATGGAGGATGGCTATGCTGGGAGGACAGGCTCCAGGCTTCCACGGATCAGCATCAGGTCTACAAACACTCCTCCTGTGGAAACTACAAAAAAATGCTAGACTGAACATCTTCTAGAAGATACTACAAAAGATGCTGTTTAAAAAGTTTTACTTGGGGGCGCCTGGGTGGCTCAGTTGGTTAAGCGTCTGCCTTCGGCTCAGGTCATGGTCCCAGGGTCCTGGGATCGAGCCCCGCATCCGGCTCCCTGCTCACCGGGGAGCCTGCTTCTCCCTCTCCCTCTGCTGTTCCCCCTGCTTGTTTGTGCTCTCTCTCTGCCAAATAAATAAATCTTAAAAAAAAAAAGTTTTCCTTGCACTGGTAAGCTGGTGAAAAAGGAATATACAGTTTAAAGAGTAAGGAAAGGAAGGTAGGGGATCCTGTTCTATGGATAAATCTGGCAAGTGTCCCGTTAACAAGTGATCAAACTGAGCATCAGCACTGTCCCATCTTGCAAGAATGGGTAACTGAGGCCATAAAGAAACAACTGGAAGATTCCAAAGAGAAGGGCATTCCACCCAACTGTGAGTCTGGACTCTTCAAAACAGCAGCCTGAAGAAAAGGTTTGGGAACTGCTCCTAGTTAAAGAGGACAACAGAAGGCAACACGCAATCCTGTACTGGCTCCTGGTTTGAAGGCACTGAAGGGGTGGTCATGGGCCATTTGGGGAATGTAAGTATGGTTCACGTTAGCACGGTGCCAAGCTCCTTGAGGGTCAAAAGTGTACTTTTGCCCTTAGGAAAGCCAGGTTCAAGCAGCACTTGTGCGTGCAATGTGGCAACAGTGACTCAGGGAAACATATGCAGTACTAATGTGGCAGCATGTTTGAAAAGCGGGGGGATGACATCAATGTAAGTGGAAGCTGTGCGGGTTGACAGTGATATTTTGAAG